TTTGTGTTTGAGTCTGCTGAGAAAAAAAGCAAATGATTTAAACTTAAATGCCACTATTTTTAAACACAAGAGTAAAATATGAAAACCGATTCTAACCTCTGGATTGGCAGTTGTTCCTCTTTTTCATCTTATACACTAAAAAAGTTGATAACACGCTGATGATGGTGGTGAGTGTTAAAGCTGCGCTTAAGAAATACATCACGGCAGAAGAATCTCGACAAACTGTAAATCCTAGAAATGACAGAGCTTTTTAGCTTTTCATCTTCAGTTCATCAAATATGATCTGCTCCTATTTATGTGTGAGTCGCACGTGAGTCGCCTCTGATGGAAAAGTGACTTACCCCCAAAGTCCAGCTTGGTCCCGTTTCCAAACATTATGTGTCCACATAGGGCGACAGCACAGTAGTAGATCCCAGCGTGAGACACATTCAGGCTCTCAATTCTCAAGTTATAGACACAGGTGTGTGTGCTTTTGTTGTCTTTCCTCTCACACTGATCATTCCTGACTCCACGGGTGTAAATGAGTCCTGGTTGAGAATCTTCAGAGTCTTTGAACCAGTAAACACTGTGTTCTCCATCACAGCTCAGCATAGTGTGCACCATACAGTGCAGACTTACAGAGCCTCCTGGCTGGATGGTCTCAGATGCTGACTGATGAACTAAAGCTTGTATGTTTAAATCTGAATCATTGACACTGACAATAATGGTCTCTAAGAACATTAATGTGTAGAAATAGGAATATACACAGTAGTAAGTTGCTGAGTCTGAAACGCTTAAGTCTGAGATAATCAAGTGGTTTTTTCCTTTTTCATTATCTAGTCTGAAACGTGCATTATTCTTGAATGGACCATGAAATTTTACTAAATAGTGTTCTGATATATAGAAGTTAGAAATACGTTTTGGTTTCTCTCCTAAAGTTTGTTTATACCAGTAAAAACGTGCAGAAACACTGTGTTCATAGTAACAATGTAAAGTCACGCTGTCTCCAGATTTAGCTGATATAAAACGTGCTTCTTCATGAACAGAGGAGGATAAATGCAGGTTGTTCTTCTGAGCTGTGGTGAAGTGAAAGACAAAGCAAATACACATTGTGGAAAATGACAGCCGAGAAAAAAAGACCTTAAAAGAATTAGACTGTGGTTAAACACAAACTTACCAATTACACCCAAGAAGAAACATATCAGATAGAAGACAATGTGTGCAGATGCCATTGTTCCAAACAGTCGTACTGAATAAAAGAATGGCGACTCTTTCTTCACTTTTAAGAGTGATGATTAGATTTTACTGGCCAATCAGAAGTTACACAGTATATGGAAAACTAGATCACATGATCAATGACGTCTGTAGTGGTAAACTTAGTAGCTGAGAAAAGAAAATAGAAGGACAACATGGGTTAGATCACAGATCAGTAGTGAGATATATTAGATGTTAACTCATTAAATATCCTATATTATATATATATATTAGGGGTGCAACGATACACAAAATTCACGGTTCGGTTCGGTTCGATATTTTTTCGATACAAAAAAA